TCTTAAATTCAAAGACGCAGTCAGTTTATGTTTAGGCCTATAGGACCACTTTTGGAAATTTACTTTATAGTTATAGTCATGAATAAAATAAGAACAATGAAATTACTCAGGTTTAATGTTGGAGGACAAAGCTGCCTTCAGCCAACATGAAGATTAAACAGACAGAAATGAAAAGGAACCAATATATTAACAAAATAAAGTTCCAGAGATCATTGGGAGATCTCAGAAAATATCGCATGAAGTCACCTAATTATCTTAAACTGACTTGATTACAGGCTCTGATCCAGTATTTTGAATTTTACATTGCAGACCAACTCTGGAATACAGTACAGGCCAAAAGTTTGGACACACCTTCTCATTCAATGCGTTTTCTTTATTTTCATGACTATTTACATTGTAGATTCTCACTGAAGGCATCAAAACTATGAATGAACACGTGGAGTTATGTACTTAACAAAAAAAGGTGAAATAACTGAAAACATGTTTTATATTCTAGTTTCTTCAAAATAGCCACCCTTTGCTCTGATTACTGCTTTGCACACTCTTGGCATTCTCTCCATGAGCTTCAAGAGGTAGTCACCTGAAATGGTTTCCACTTCACAGGTGTGCCTTATCAGGGTTAATTAGTGGAATTTCTTGCTTTATCAATGGGGTTGGGACCATCAGTTGTGTTGTGCAGAAGTCAGGTTAATACACAGCCGACAGCCCTATTGGACAACTGTTAAAATTCATATTATGGCAAGAACCAATCAGCTAACTAAAGAAAAACGAGTGGCCATCATTACTTTAAGAAATGAAGGTCAGTCAGTCCGGAAAATTGCAAAAACTTTAAATGTGTCCCCAAGTGGAGTCGCAAAAACCATCAAGCGCTACAACGAAACTGGCACACATGAGGACCGACCCAGGAAAGGAAGACCAAGAGTCACCTCTGCTTCTGAGGATAAGTTCATCCGAGTCACCAGCCTCAGAAATCGCAAGTTAACAGCAGCTCAGATCAGAGACCAGATGAATGCCACACAGAGTTCTAGCAGCAGACCCATCTCTAGAACAACTGTTAAGAGGAGACTGCGCCAATCAGGCCTTCATGGTCAAATAGCTGCTAGGAAACCACTGCTAAGGAGAGGCAACAAGCAGAAGAGATTTGTTTGGGCCAAGAAACACAAGGAATGGACATTAGACCAGTGGAAATCTGTGCTTTGGTCTGATGAGTCCAAATTTGAGATCTTTGGTTCCAACCGCCGTGTCTTTGTGAGACGCAGAAAAGGTGAACGGATGGATTCCACATGCCTGGTTCCCACTGTGAAGCATGGAGGAGGAGGTGTGATGGTGTGGGGGTGTTTTGCTGGTGACACTGTTGGGGATTTATTCAAAATTGAAGGCACACTGAACCAGCATGGCTACCACAGCATCCTGCAGCGACATGCCATCCCATCCGGTTTGCGTTTAGTTGGACGATCATTTATTTTTCAACAGGACAATGACCCCAAACACACCTCCAGGCTGTGTAAGGGCTATTTGACCAAGAAGGAGAGTGATGGAGTGCTGCGGCAGATGACCTGGCCTCCACAGTCACCGGACCTGAACCCAATCGAGATGGTTTGGGGTGAGCTGGACCGCAGAGTGAAGGCAAAGGGGCCAACAAGTGCTAAACACCTCTGGGAACTCCTTCAAGACTGTTGGAAAACCATTTCAGGTGACTACCTCTTGAAGCTCATGGAGAGAATGCCAAGAGTGTGCAAAGCAGTAATCAGAGCAAAGGGTGGCTATTTTGAAGAAACTAGAATATAAAACATGTTTTCAGTTATTTCACCTTTTTTTGGTTAAGTACATAACTCCACATGTGTTCATTCATAGTTTTGATGCCTTCAGTGAGAATCTACAATGTAAATAGTCATGAAAATAAAGAAAACGCATTGAATGAGAAGGTGTGTCCAAACTTTTGGCCTGTACTGTATGTTTCATTAATGCTTTTAATTCAAACAAATTATGTTGCTTTATGTCAGTAATTTAACAGTATGTTGATGCTGAAGCTTGTGTAACCTCTTTCCTCACTCAGTGTTACAGATCAAATGATCTTTAGACTCATAACCTTTAGAAAGTCACTTTTCTGATTTTGTCTTACTTTTAAGACACTCAGAGGGGGAAAATGAAATTGGGTATTTTAAACCATCCTTCAATAAAGAATGAAGAATTTTCCAACTTTGATTTAAATGTGCTTCAAAAGTTAAATCCCTCAAGCTCAAGTTAAGGACAGAGTTTTTATGATTAGTGTGTTTGAGAGGTCAAGAGGAGCTTTGGAGGCTCAGTTTGTTGAAGTAAAAATGACCACACAGTGGCTCACACACTGTTATTCTTGGACTGTATACCAAATGTCTTCTTAGTTTTAGTTTTAAAAAAGTGCTGATAAAAACAGTGTGACAGCAGTTGTGCTAAGATCCCATCACCAAAAAAGAGAAAAGAAACCAAAGATGTTTGTCCTGAGGCCTCTTTATGAAGCAGTTGTTATTCCTATTTACTTGTTTGTTTTTGAGTGTCTAGTTAGGAAGGTCAGGGGTCATTGTCTATTCGTGCTGCTGTGATGACACCAGAGGGTGTTGGCAATAAAAAGTTTCAGTTGCACTGAGGAAGTTGCCTCGTTCTGTCAAGATCCAACATCACACAGCAACTCTGCTCCCTTCTGACAGCATGTGATGAATTCCACAGTGTGCTGCTCTCACCACCTACAGGACATCAGGGTCTGAACACAAGATGAGCAGAAAATACAGCAGATTATGCTTTATACCTCACCATTGCATTTTATTTAGAAAAACAAGTGTGTGATTAAATATGACACATGTAGAATGTTATCTAGAAAACCTCCACATGATGGGAGTGTTTTAATCTGACTTACTTTTTTTATTAATAATAAACTTTTGCCAACAGATGGCACCAAAGTATTATTTGCAGTGCTGCAAGTCTGATGGACTTTGTTTCTCTCCCAAATGGCCTAAAATCCATCTCCCCAACACCTGGAGATTAGGTGAAACTGTGATATTAACTCAGACTGCTGACTGTGTTTAAAGTAAGACGGTAATGTTGCAGACTGTCAACTGTGACCTAACTTCACACCTTCAATCTGTTGCTCATCATCAGAGGGATAAGTCCAGAAGCAGGAAGGGTGGAAAATTCTTCCTCTCACCTCCTGTTAAAGTGTGTGATTATTATGGTTTACCATCCCACTGAGACCTAAAAGATTTCTATTCAACAGGAGAGCATTAGAACATATAAGAAAGTATTTGCGTAAATTCAACATTGATATAAAAATATGTTTGCTAAAATCTGTCTAATTTGTATGCAGTATCAAATTATAAATGTTATTAAGCATAAATAAACAAGTTTTAACCACAAAATTTCATGAGGTTTTGTACCTTGTCCACGTTTGTGTCAGGATCAGCTGTTGACTGACTCAGCAGAGATGGCTGCCATCTTGTTTTCAGATGGATTAGTGTATTGTGGCCTTGCTACCACTCTATCATTATAAAACACTATAAAACTGTCCACAAACGAGGACAACAGGTCTAAGTTAAGCAGAATGAAATATAAGCTGCAGGAAACCAAAAATGTAGCAGGATGAATATAGTACTTGAGTAAATGTACTTAGTTACATTCCGTCACTGCACTCTTTCAGTGTTCTGCATTTTTTCAAACTGATATCTGACCTTATCAATCTCCCAAAAACTACTCCCCTGGAAAGTAACAGAGTACATTTACTCAAGTGCTGTACCTAAAGGATTAACTTTGTATTTTTCAGCCTGGACCCTATTTTCCCATGTTTTTGTGTCAAAGTGATTAATTTAAAAATTTGTCCAGTATTGAGTGAGACTCCTGCAGCTGGTGGCAATGAAACAGTCTGCGATGTAACCACTCGGGTTATGATTACACCCTCAATTTACGTCCACTGCAAGTGCTTGTTTTTGCCACTGACAGGCTCAGATTGTTATTCCAAGTGTTTGACAGCTTATAGAAAGGATCCCTACAGAGAGAGAGATCTTTTTGTTTAAGAGTAAGATCCTTTCTGATTAACCAGAAACAGCTCTGAAACTGTTGCCATCGAAGAAAACAAATCTTAGTGACATGAGGTGTGTGTAACTTCCAGTTTGTTGTACTTGATTCTTGATTGTTGGTGATGTTGTTGTGGAGCATTTTGTTGTTAGAAACCCAGTATGTGCCTTTTAACATCCTCTGATCAGGAAGATGGAACGATATTTGTGTTATTGCTGTAGGTACTGTGTATTTTGTGCCACTGTATGTCTTAGACACACACAGGGCTCACTGAGAGTTAACAGGATATGTACAGAACAAGCTCAGTTTTTGCTTAGTTTGCTGCTGACATTTCATTTTGTTTTGGCTTGAATGCTGCCTCGAAACTTTATCTGTACTTTATCTTTACTGGTTTCAGTTGAGTGTTTGACTTTCATGTTTTAAAACTTTTTCACAGCTATGAGAGTTATGGAGTTATGCAACAGCATTTGTCAAATAATTGTAAAAGAAGTAACAATCTGTAAAATATATCTTAGAGATTTAACATCAAAGCAGTAACACATACTTGGCCACTTACATTTATTTGTTTTATGCTTAATCTATATTTTAAAATTCTAAAATGGGATTTTAATTTATAAAAGTCTTCATTCTGATCAAAACCAATACAACGCTTTAATCAAACTGCATGTGAAGAAACGATCATTTTAGCCAAATTACAAATAAACATGTTCTCCTTTCACCTTTGTATCTCAAGTCTGGTAGAGGTACCGTCTTGTCCACTGAGGTTTTGAAATATGTCTGAGATTTTTGCAGCTGCTCAAATACAACTACTGTGAATAGAACAATCTATTTTTCAAGAAACTGCCCAGTTCCTCTGGATTATCCACATACCTCACTGTGAACACACTGTATTAAAACTACTGACAACTGAAGAAATAGTCCCTATAAAAACTCAGATTGTCTCCATTTTACCAATGTAGTCACTTTAAAACCCAAAAGTCTGGTGCTTTATTTCACTAAAGTTCACTCCAATCTTTTAAGGCATTAATTCAACCAAGGACACTCCAACTGGAATAACTACATGTGTGATGTCAGTGCAAAGGCAGACAAAAAAATTCAGTGAGAAAAACATCACAGGAAATAAAGCCTTCATTTCAAGGATTTTGGATATTTTTTATTCTAATTGGCCCAATATCTTCCTCTGCTGGTTCTGTCTACTGAGGAGACGAGAACCTGCCAAGGAAGAGGATGGACTTGGTCTTATTGTGCCTGATGAAGAAGAGGAAGGGGTGGTCCGCTGTGAAGTGTTCCTCCCTCAACATACAGAATGCTACCATGCCTGCTGTGGCTGCAGCCGCCTCCGTGCCCTCCTCGTTCACCTCCACAAAGGCCTTGTGGGCCACTGTAGATAGGAAGAGTCCTCCTTCACCGTTCATGCCAGACAAGTCTGCCTTCGCCCCGCAGAACACGTCTGTCATGCCCAGTTTGGCCAGAGGCTCATTCAGCTCGTAGTCTTCCTCCAGCTTGAACTTGGGCAGGTGGACAAGGATTTCTGAGTGGATGTCCATGTTGTCCCTGTTGGTCCATTCGTCCAGTCTCTCCCGTGTCAGCTCGATCTCCAGCTGGAACAAAAAACACACACTGCACTGCATCTCTGGCTCATATTTATATTAAGAGGTTGTCAGTAACAGCTTGTAGGTGCTTGTTAAATCCTAGAATCATCGATTGAGTTGCTCTTGCCTCATTGTCTGTTTAGCTAGACTGCATTTAATGCACGATTGCAAATTTATTTATGCAGGTGGTCTCCTTAGGCCTCATTCACCGACTGTTCTTATGAGGACATTTCTTCTTAAAACCTATTTACACAGTTTCCATGAAGATTTAGACATTAACCGGTGGTGCTTTTTGTTTTTGAGATGTGTTCCTATGTGAGAACAGAATCTAAGCACACTCAAGAGCACACTTAGGCATATTTGAGTGCCAACATGTTTGTGCCTAGTAATTGGTTACAGCGTCCTCTTTAATTCTAAAGTTGTATTATATTACAGGATTTAAATTACAATGATATCTTGGTGTCTTGCATTTTAAGCTACAGACACCTGGGTGCAAAAAGCATCTCCCTAAAGATACTTTTTGCACCCAGGTGTCTGTAGCTTAAAATGCAATTTGCACCAGGTGGATTTGTCAATTTAGATATGAGCAAAGACTACAACATCAGCCTCACCGAGAAGGTGGCTGAAGGAATGAAAAAGGGAGGCTGTGTTCACACAGTCAAACAAGTCAGCCACCGGTGGAAAAATGAAAATATCCTATTTGAGGATCCTATTAGAGCTGGAATATTGTCTTTTTGGAATAAGATCAGAAACAGGTAGTCAAGGATCATCTCATTACAATGCAATGCTCTGCTTGGGTTTTGGCATTCAGGTGGATGCCACTTGACATGCACCACCCACCAAAACAATTATAGACCATGTTCTCCTCCCCATGGCAACAGCCTGCCCTGATGGCTTTCAGTGGTCTCAATGTTTTGGGTGATCCGTGTATATTCCTTGGTGTCTTAGACTTGTCAAAATGAGATGTTAAAACGAATGGGTCTATTCAGCTATTTTGCTTTAGTTTATGTACACAGTGTGTATTCAGCAGTGTAATATATCCTATAAACTGAAAATAATAAGTCAATTTAGACTAAAAATAATAAGACAACATTGACTTACATGGAAATACCCCCAGCCTCCTGTTTGATAGTACTGTGCCTAACCCACTAACCCACCATGTCTTAACTGTTTCCATGGACAGTGTTGCTCTTTACACTACGTCACCTGGATTTCTTGCAGTATATTCAATTTTTGTCATGAATTTAACACTTTGATCTAAAAAAATATCTGAGATTGGCTTGTACTTACCCTAACCATGACCCCAGTGCCCTGATCCTAACTAGCTGTGACTTCAGCGCGTCAACGTGACAAGTACTGTACGAGTGTAAATAGGCGAATAGTTGCAGTGTGACTATTCTCATCCTTGTGCAAACAGACAATGATATTTCCATATGTTTTTTTCATTTTTTAACAAAGCACTATGGTCTTTCAAATAAGTAAACACATAAGCAAACAATACACTAACACTTCAAATCACATCAGTTATGTTATCAGTTATATGAACCATGCCATCCAATAATTAGTGATTGATCACATCATTTGTGGCCCAAAGTACGCCTCTGTCTGCACCCTAGGTCTACTTGCACAATCACATATTTACTGCTACTGTAAGATGCAGCACATCACGCTCTGAGGAGTGAAGGCATCTTCCAGGACCATGTAGATCTATTTGCAGAGAGTGAAGAGGGCCTCAGATTTGAAATCGAACCTTTTAGTGTTTTCTATTCTTAACCAGCTGTGTGCTCTTTTCCAGATACAGAATTCCCTGAACAGATGATAGCATCCCATGTACTACTCAGTACGACAGTTTGTTTTGCTTTCACTTCCTGCAGAACTATCTCCACTTCTGAACTACTGCAGTGTTTTTATGTTTGGAGTCTGGTGCTCCGCCCTTTTCACACTTTTGTTTGTGCATTCTTGATTTAACTCTTTCCACTTTTCTGCTTCTTCTTGTTCTTCTTCAGTCTCTGTGTGTGCACAAGGCCCTGCAGTTTCATGCCATTTTATGGGGATTGATGTGGTTTAAGAACTCAAGATGAATCTGACATTTCTTAGGACCTTTCTAAAGAACAAAAGTAAGAAAAAAACTTGAGAAGATATCTTTGAATGAGGCCCAGAGATCGAGACCTCTTTTGCAAGAGGAACCTGAGTAAGGAAGAGACAATCATTTCATTCCATTTATAAGGTGCCAACGAGTGAAAGTTCAATGTTTACCTGGGAGCTAACTAACTACAGTTTAACAGTCCTGAGATCTGGTTTGGTGGGAAGTGGTTTTAAATTTGAGAAGAGACCTTTATCAATACAAATGATACAATGTATTTATCATCTTTTTGCTGGTGAGGACCAGTCTACTTTTTCATATTGTACACAGGGAGTATGATGTATTTGTATTTGTATGTGGTTCCTGTTAGAAAAAGCAGAATTTTAAAAAATGTTGGAAATGGGATAAAACATGCAAAACCATGGGTAATTATTACTATTATTCTATATGATATTAGTTACATAGATTCTATATTTCTCCAAGAGTGCAAATGGTGCATAATTTATGTTTAACAGTTTCTATTACATCCCTTGCAAACCTTGTCAGCCTAGGTAGTTGCTTCTATGTTGTTTACCTTCAGCAGAGGGTCAGAGCCGTCTGTGGACTCCTCGGGCAGCAGGATGAACATGCTGAGTTCCTCATCAATGTATGGCAGCTCCAGGATCTGCAGGCCAAGCTCAGGAATGTAGTTGTAGGGCAGCTTCTTCATCTGGTACATCATCTGGACTGTCCTGTTCTCATTCTGATGCACAGGAAACACAGAGAATCAAGGTGATCAGATCATGTTAATGAGTCAGAATTTAGTTTCTGAAGATGTTCAGCTACTCTTCAGCTAAGTTAAGGTGTCCTGTATTTAAACGTCATGTCTCTACATCTGCAGATTTCACCTGGTTGACTTTAAAGGTCATATCCTTGGTGTTTGCCTCATCAAAGCGGCTCTTCCAGTTTCCCTTGAAGTAGATGGCGTTAACCAGAGCCAGTCTTGTCATAGCGCTTACTGTTCCTGGCTTCAGGAGATCTTTAATCTTATCTGAAAAGAAATAGACAAGCAAAGCAACCATTGAACACTGATTCACAGAGGGCACTATCATACTATATGACTGCTGTACAAGTTGGTCCAATTAAGATTACTCACTCTCTGTTTGCTCCTCGACCCAGTCGTTGATCTCTGCTCTGCACGCTTCCGCAGCCCCGATGAAATCAACAGCCTTCAGGTCTGCCTGGTAGTACTTCTGTGTGGCTTCAAGGAATTGCTGCAGAGAGCAGATAATATCTTGCATTCTTGATAAATATCTGACTGAATTCAATTATATGAAGTTACTGAGACAATCTAAGTATCTGTGTCCCCAGTGACAGGTAAAAACTGAAAACTCACCGGGAGGAAGTTGGCAGTGTTTTCTCCATAAAGACGGTTGGCTAGTTTCAGGATGTATGATGCAGATGGTGAGTTGATGTCAGCATTTAGTGTCTGGAAGTCTGCGTGGACGCCCTCACCGGAGCTGAATGAGAGGGCCTGTGTTTTGAGTTTGGAACAAGAGACTTTATTCTGGGTGTTAATTAATACTTCAGTATATAATTCTAATTTAGACAATATTGTTCTTCCAACATTGTGCAACAGTTTGGGAAAGACCCTCTCTTGTTTGAGCCTCCCTGCACAAACCCAGGAATATAAAGAAATGTTTTTTTCCAGTTTAGCATGAATTAACCCGACTGGCCTGCACAGAGCTCTGATCCAACGACTTCTGGATTAACTGGAAAACCAACTGTGAGCCTGGCCTTATCGCCCAAAAGTGGCCAAACTCACTGATGCTCTTGTAGGAGTATGGGATCAAATCCCTGCATGTCTCTACATCTGCAGGTGGAAAGCCCTTCGAGAAACAGGGGACTGTTAGAGCAGCCTATTAATGCCTGTTATTTTGTAATGACATGTTAAAACACTTACATACAGATGCAATGTTCATGTCTCCTTATGCCTTGGGCCATATAGTGTATTTCCATATTTCTGTATGCTGTTGTGTTTTGTGTATTCAGTCATCATTAACCTGCTGGGCCACTGCAGGTGATGCCATTTGGCTAAAGCTAACACACTTCCATTCAAGAAGTCACTAATCAAAATGATTAAAGAAGAACAGGGAAGAAAGCCCTGAGGATTGGCTGTACTTTCAAAAGCAAACAGGTTTCATGAACTGAAAACACAGCTCAATGTTCAACTGGCAGTTTTTACAGCCTTCTGCTTTAGCAAACAGTGCATTACTTGTTTCACAGGTCAAAGTCCAGGCGTCATTAAACCTCGCCTGTCTGAAGACACACCTTTTTAGTCTGTGCCTAGATACACACCTGGGCCAAAAGCCTGAACTTGAGAACTTATAAAATGTTTTATGGAAACAGGCCAGGATGACTGTACGCATTTCGTAATGTATATTACGATTTATAACTAGGCCTTGGATGTTACGCCATGATGTCAGGTGATGGAGGAGGTGCATGTAATAGAGAGACGGTGTGCTGACCTTCGCCATCTGAGCAGCAGTGTCCCCTTTAGCACCCAGGTAAACCATAGCCAGGGCTGAGCTGATGCTCAGTGGTGAGACAAAGATGTTTCCGGTGGGATTTGTTTGGCTCAGAGTGCGGAACAGGTCCAAGGCAAAACCTGTGTTTGAGCTGCTGATGGTGGCCATGACTGGTGATGTACGGTCTTCCTGTAATGAGCAAATTGGTATATAATTTCATACTACAAAATACATTTTAAACAAAGTTCACAATCACTCATAAGGGCCCATTCTTGACCCAACACATTGTCGGAGCCCACTCTCTCTATGCCCCCCCACCTCAAGGGAGCCCCAGTGCAACTGCACCGCCCGCACTGTCTGTATTTACACACCTGACCTGCTCCATAGATAGATATAAACAGCTCATTCTATGGTAACAAAAACACAAGGATTCTTAGTTTCAGGTAATTATACATTAACGGAAACATACTTATAAATATTACATTCAATTTTAGCAAATATAGGCTATCCCCCTAAAACCTACACACTGGCCCTTTAAATTTAAGAGGTGATCTTCCTCTACCGGTAATTTATAATTTATTTATGTTTGTCTATCTCTGTTGTCCACTGTCAACTGAAGGCAAAAATGAAAATAAAACGCAAATAACTTGATTTGTTTTTTTCTTCATAACCTGTAAAATTCTCATGTACATAACTGTACCATACTGAAAAGGGAAACAACTGAACTATACTGTCGAGGGCAAATTCTGCAATACACCTGAGACATAAAGCCTTTTTGTTTCCTTTTGTTAACACAATAAAGCAATTAATGTGACTTCGTTTTTGCACTGAAATTATTTTCATTATCTTTTTACAAATGCAGTCCAGTGGCACTGTGGTCACCTGATGTTCATCCATGACCTGTGATATTCTCATGTATTTTCATAACTGTGCCATATAGAAAAAACTTTAAAATGCATCCATCACATATAGCCATTTTTCTCATTTTGTTAATGTACCAAAAACTAGTTGAATATGTGACTGTTTTGCCCTTTTATTATTATTACAAATTTAATAATATCTATAATAAAAAATATGTTTTTGCACATGCAGTCTGATGACACTGAAGTTACCTGGTGGTCTATCCGAGACACTGTAATGTTGCATCCACCACCATGGTTTAGCTATTTAGTTTAAGGTAGGCCTATATTAAAAAGAAATTCGGCATTTTAATGAGTTGATACTCGGTGGTGTCTGCATGGATTAAAAAAAATTTTTAACCCCTAACCTGCAATATCAAAAGTTTTAAAGACATTTATCAACTACATTGTCGTCAAATGTTGTGTTTACATGTCTCCAACTGTACTTATATCACAGTTAAAGCGTGTAAAGATGCGTTCAGGTACCCGGAAATTAACTCGCACGCCTCCATCTTTAAATAGCTCACTAGCTGGTATTATATACGTAAAGCATCGTGCATCCTGACAGGATTAAGCGACATCATGACACGATGCGGGTGTTGTGCGTGTGTGTTTTAGGCCTGTAAGCTGCATTGGTACATTACCTGATGTTCCTCCCGCAACGACTGAAGCTTGATCTGCCCGCACGCGCTCAACGTGTGAAGAAGTGAAAGCGAAATGCAAAGACGAGCAAAAGTCCCAAAATATCCCCTAGAAATAGAGAAACCACAAAGTGTAGGGGAGGTGGTTAAACCCAGGGGTCCACCGCTGCTCATTTAAAGCCTACGGAACACAAACAGTGGTTGTCACCGCAGCCTGTGGGTGGGACGCGTGATTGGGCGATAAGTCACAGCCCGGTAACAATACATGCCACTATAGCTACTGAGGAGGGAATACATGCACCGATACCGTGCTGTAAAATAATTGCACAACTATAGGCGGCGGCCTGCAAGTTTTAATATTTATTGACAGCATTAGATTTTTTTTTAATTTTATTTTTTTACTACGGATGACTGTGCGTGGATGTAGGTAGGGCCGTAACCAGGGTTTTAGACACACAAGTGCAAACTCACCCAGCAGAACCCCACCCTTCTCACACAGCTCTGTCTGTACACAGACCAAACTCTGCACAACTTTCAGAGTGGCCTATCAAACATAAAATCGCAAATTTCACATTTAATTTCTACATTTAACCATTCAATTTCATTAGTCAGTAAATATTATCTCCTTACATAAATGTTAAGTCAACACTGCCTGGTCAAAGTGCCAACAAAATAGTGAATATTTTGATATCAGAGACTAAGATGTGTCAAAAGTGTGTAATCTTGCAACATTTAGTGCCTCATGTCATTTTATCCAAAACTGCAGGAGCACAATCTTGTCATTTTGGAGCTCAGACAAGAGCAAAAACACATTCAATAGAGTCTCAGTGGATTTCAGCGTACGGGGTGTAACCAGAAATCGTGTACACAATGTGGAATGTGAGGTTTACTTTGGGGTCTTCAGGTTTCATAAACAAAATACATTTTCATGTCTGCCTTACTATAAATACTCTGGGTAACTTCTCAGAATACACAGTCAAGCGAAAGTGGATCCGCAGGCATTTTTTTTTTTTCATTTTTACTGGAACATCTTATTATTAAAACTTAATACAAAATCAGGAATCATTCTGTAACCTTTGTCCTCAGTGTTAGTTAACTGTGTACTCACTAGACCTGACCACTGTACAGCAGGAGTCTCTTCTCACTTTGGCCAAACATAGAAATGTAAATAAACCTTTTCTATATATACATGCTTGAAGGGTAAATTTAACTTGCCTCAGCTAAGACGAAGCAGCGGTTGCTCTTTTGAAATGTTTCATGTGTAGATAGGTGTGTCTGTGTGATTTACAGTGCAGAGATTATATCTTGTCTCCACCCGTCACGCAGGCTTACAGCGTAGCCGTGCCAACCACTGAAACATGATAAACATTTCTGATTTATGGTGACCCAAGGATTCCAGGCGGTCCCTGTTACATAACAGCCATCCTATATCTTGTCCCACTATAGAAACCCTCCTCCCCTCTTTCTTTCTTACACATCAGTTTTTAATTAATCATGTGCCAACTTGATACATAAACCAAAACAAAACTTCCCCCACACCTTATTCTAATCTGTTCAGGAAATATCTTGTCAAAGAATAAGCAGTCTAAACAAGCCTAAGAATCTTGATGAGGGTTTGATGCCAACACTCCATACTGACTTTTTGGTGCACATTGCTACAAACACAAGGCTCTCAAAAGGCACTGAGAAGTGATAACAAACCCTGCCTTACTGTACTGTCTAAATAAAAGACACATTTAGTTTATGTGCATTTATGTGCCTATTGGGCCCTAAGAAGAATTTCACATGCTCTGTTCAGTATATTTTTCTTCTCACAGAAAGTGAACAGTGAAAAAAAAGAAGCACAAAGAGACATCACGTGTAATCAAGAAGGCATAAGCCTTCAGTTGTTAAAGGATAAAATGCAAAGTTGAGTGATACTGATGTTGAATAATTATTTTTGGGAAAATTACATACAGATAAATAAAGTGATCAAAATATATGGAAAAAAGCTAAAAGATTGTTGTTTGTGTTTTATACTAATTTTGGGAGTCCTTGATGGCTGCAGGGGCCGAATGAGCCAAGTCTATCAATGCACATGCAGACAGAGAGCTCTTAACCTCTGTCTGCCAGTAGAGGGAGCTGGACAGATGTGCTGTCATGGCCAAGATGGCTTGTTCTGTTTTAAAGTTTACACTTCATGGATCTGAATATTGTAAAACTGTCAGTGCACCATCCATAAATATATATATAACTTGAATTAGATAGTGTACATAAAAATGTACAATGTACAAAAAGGCACATGCAGTCATGTGAAAATCATTATCACCGCTCACTGCTTTGGATGTTAGTTACCGTTCAGTAAATTATTATTTCTTATAATATAAATTATATTATTTGTATGTTTGCATATTATTTAATGTTCAAAACGGTGGGGTCTTTATGCTCCACTGTAAATGACTGTGACTGTATGAGGGCTATTTATTGCATGAGAGCAGTTTTTCAGATTTTTGGGGGGGATCCATTACAGTCCCCCCCTAGCTTGTCCTCCCCCTAACACCCCTCTAAATGTGAGGAGGGTGGAAACCTGACATGCCAGCCTCAGACCCTCCCTCTTTGAGATGTTCTGTACTGTAGTTGACGTTGGCATGCCCATTAGCAGCAGCATCTTTTTGTTCTGTCAACATGGTCCATCATCACAAGGCCCCAACCTGTTTTTGTACTCATCAGCCGTGTCATCTGTGAGGGGAAAGGGAACATGGAAAAAGGATTAGCCTTGAGGAAATTGAAGGCAATGTCAAACCTCATGTGCATGTGACGCTAATGCAGCAGTAGTAGGAAAGCTACTCAAAGCTATATTGAATGCTATTCAATATATCCATGAAGTCTGACACAGTCACATAGTATTCTGAATTTTCCAACAATTAATATAAATTATATAAAGATTTATGACCAGATACATATATTGTATTGTGCATCATTTTACTTATATATAATTCTCCATAATTTAGTCATTCTTGGTTTCATCTGAAACTTTTGGGGGTCTATTGAAACTAAATTCAAGTTCTTAAAAGTTTTAAGAATTTTTTATATTTGTAAAAATTGAACCCACTGGTGGGTCTCGGGCTCTGATAACTGTTTCAACACTTTTTTTTCCATTTATTTATTTGTTTTAACATTTTACAAACACCTCCGAACAAGTACACAGACAGTAAAGACAAGAAAAAAGTATAATAGTAATGACTAATGGGGAAAAACAACAATAATAATAATAAAACAAACAAAAAAACAAAAATCAAAAATTAAACAATATCAATAAATAAAAAACAATAATGGTCAGTGGAAATGGTTCATGTCTTCACAGAGCCAGAGCACAGGTAAGCAGGCTAGGTGGATGGTCAGAGATCCTTAAGAGGTTTCCATGTTCTCAGGAAGACTTTCCCCTTATTGTTTAATATGCAAGTGCGTTGTTCCAGTTGTAGTGTATCATTCAATATTTGTTTGAACAAATTAAATGTTGGGGGTCTTTGCTGGTTCCAGTTGAATAAAGTACACTTCTTTGCTATATATGATATTATGCCAGTCCTCTTTGCAGACATGCAGTTGACACGTTTTTTATTATATTTATTGTGTTTATTACAAACAAGAAAAAAGCTGATGAGAAATCAACACAAATAAACAACTGAGCTAATCAAAAAAAATGTGTAGGTGCAAAACTGCTAATTTCATCTTTCTTTTAGTTTTGTTTTGTTGTAGTGTGCTCCGGATAGCTTTTGGCTTTTAATTTCCACTTAAAAAACAAACAAACAAGCAAAAAACATGTTGTCTGCCCAAGATGGCCGCAGTTGTCACCTATAGGAAGATCTTTTGCCCTGAGACGTGGTCAGACATACCTTTTTTTTTTTTTAAATATTTTTTTGGGGCATTTTAGCCTTTAATCGACAGGAAAGCCAAGCATAAAAGGGGGGAGAGAGGGACTGACATGCAGCAAAGGGCCACAGGCTGGAGTCGAACCCGGGCCACTGCGGCAACAGCCCTGTACATGGGGCATCTGCTCTATCCACTATAAACCACCTACGCCCCTGGTCAGACATACTTTGTAGAAACTAGTTTGTTTCAAGCATACTGCACCCAGACCTTGAGTCCCTAACCCTCTCAAAACACACAATTCCATTCTTCCACCAATCAAACTAACATCCATGTCATCAAATGGCGATATGATAACAAGGTGACAGTGTGAAAGGGATTGCTAATATTAATGAGCATACAGAGAATTATCACGTGACTCCAAATCTCCCTTTCACTCCCCATTAATAGCAAATTGACTTGTCAAACCAGTGGGGTTTGTCTTTTAAATGGACAATCAGTATTACAACCAATCATAATTAACATTAAAAACATCCAAAAACAGAATCACAAAACACCAAAGACCTCTTTGTTCATCAATCAGTTTGAGAGAGACAACTGGTTTCAAACTTGCATGTTGAATTTTACAAACTACTTTAACTCACCTACAATGACAGACTGTATAAAAGAAGTGGACGTCATCAACTATTGGTTTGTGGACTCCCAATATGAAGCTTCAAGTTTTGCATTTTGGCTGCTGCCATCTTGTTATTTTAGAGCAAAAGGTGAATCTGACACAGAATTCAACAACACCGCCATGGTAGCGACTTGTCAATCACAAGGTAGCCCTAAAGCATACCCTGCTTTATCATCTATTTCATTCTAGATGGGAGCATAGTTCACTTAATAAACACTATGCTGTATATGCTGTAAAAAGACTTGAAACTAGAGATTAAGACCATAAACTCAACCAGTGGAGTCGTCCCCTGCTGGCAATTAGAAAGCTTGCAGGTTTAAGGCACTACCACATTGGCCTCACTTCTCACACCCTGAGATAACCCCTTGCCTCAGTTTGATGTTGGCCCACTTGTCCATTCAGTATCTTCAATTTATTACACTTGACAGGAGGAGAGGGGGCCTGTTGGCAGAGTATATGATCTTTCATAAATCTCATCAGACTTATTTATGAGTGTGAGATGAAAGCATAGCTGCTTGCCTCCAGCAGGCGGGGGCTGAGGGATGTGTGTATGTTTGTGTTTGTGTATTTCACATTGTTTAATTTACTTTAACTTTGTTCTTGAGCAGGCACATGAAGGACACTCTGATGCCCCAGACCAGCAGTTAAACAGTTACAAACTCTGGGGGACCATGGCTCAAATGATCCCTCCAGCAGCACAAATTACAAAACAA